GCCAAACTGGAGAATTTGCAAGTAAACAGTTCATCTAGTAAAAAATTACAGAGAATAAATTCATTTCCTTAAACATACGCTGTGCATATAAAAACAAATAAGTATTATTATGGGATTCAATATTACTAGGAGTAGGATACCCTGGTCTGGTAAAGTTTAATAGTACTTAATGGCCAACGGGACTCTTTCCAACTTCAAAACAGATCTGTTTCCCCTAAACTTCTAGGCCAAGTACCCCTTCTTCATATGCCCACAGAAAACCTACAAATAAAGAGTGTCAATGGGAGAAAAAGGAAACTATTAAGATGGCTGAATCATGGAAGTATATGCCTGTGTAGCATTTACCTAAGGATTGTCGCCAGCTTAGACTTAAAGTTCTGAAAGGGCAGGAAGTGTGCTGCTGCATATACATCCTGGCCAATGCAATATTCTATATTTAGTATGTTGAACAATCACACTTAACAAAACCTGCAACAGTACAATATACTGCACGCCAATATTAGATCTCTGGATTCCAGTAGGGCAGACTTCCTGATCAAAGTCCACCAGAAAATGCAAGGGAAGCTTTGCCAGGTAGAAACAGGCAAAATGTTTTCATCTCCTTCCTGAGGGATGGTAACACAGAGTTCTTTAGAGGGAACCAAAGCCCTGGAAAGACTCACCATCTTGGAACTGGGAAAGGACAAATACCAAGGGTAAAATGACAGACAAGATTTAACCCATTGGGGTCTTTCTGAATGGATCTAGCTTTTAGGAATATTTACTTCATCCAAACTCATGATTTAATCACAGTTTCCTTGCTAGGTAAAATCAATGTTCAAAAAATTGTTCTTAAGCATTTGGTATTAAAATAGTTTTAAAAGACAGATCCAATAAAGGTGAGTTTAAATGGAAACTATATTTGGTACCTATGATTGCATCTAGGAACCAAATAGTACTCAATTCAATATACCTACACTCTAGACCAGCAAGAGCCTGCTGTGTTTTTTTACACCTTTCCCCTTGAACAGACAATCCAGCTCTATTCTGGCTGCCAAATGAGGCAGAATAGCTCTCTGTAGAAATAGAAAACAAGTAAGAAGAAAAGTTTGAAATTTATTTTTCATGGAAGGTTAAATAAAAATCTATATTTTAAACAAAATTCTGGTTTTATCTATGCTCCTCACTTGACAGATTAATTCATTTATTCATTCAAACAATTATTTATCAAGTGCCTACTAATCCAGACATTGTTGTATGTGTTAGAGCTACAACAGTAAACAAAACAAAGCTTACATGTGAGAAAGCTAAGGCCCCAAAAGGTTAAATGTCCTATGGCCAAACTCTTAGGGTAAGCTAAAATCAAGTTCTCAGCTTCTCTTCTTTCTCTTCCTACTCTAAGTATGGGACTAAACAGAGCCATGCTTACTCCTGTACCATACAATCAAAGGGCAGATTTACCTAGAAATAGGAGGGTCTTTGGACAAGTATCATCAATGTCATGTCCATGCCTTGATTTCCAAATAAATATCTGTCTGTTTTTCTTTTGAGAGCCATCCTCTGCCTGCTAGCCATCTTTAGCTGGAATATGCTGTATTTAAAATTCAAGATGCCTAAATTCAAACTCCAAATAAGCTCCTTCCCCAACTTTCCCATCTCTGCTAAGAGTACCATCAGCCTCCTAATTATCCAGGCTTAAAACCTCAGCAACAGCTTTGATTCACCTTTCTCCCTCAACCCCGGCATACATGTGGGCTGCCAATTCTGGTAGATTAATATCCCTGTATCATTTTTCAATTCTATTTCATTTTCAGTCCACCAAAGTCCACCAAAGTCCCCTTTATCTCTCAAGGGAACTCACTGTCTTCTTATTGGTCTATAGGCTAGCTGCCAGACTACTGCTACCTGCTGTGCCAAAATATCTAAGGCAAAGTTTTGATCATATCATCCCTCTGTTCAAAAACCTTTGGTACCTATTCCCTGCTGAAATTAAATACCAATTCTCCAGCCCAGCATTCCAGGAGCTTCATTAAATGGCTCCAACCTATTTTCCTATTCTGGTCTTTATTCACACCATATATTTTAGCAAAATGGAACTAGATAATTTCTTGTTGCTCATATTTCCTTTTTGCTTGGAATTCCTCTTTCATTCCCACTTAATTCTTCTAAGAACATTTCAAATACAGCTTCTTTCATGAAACTCTTTGTCATGCTCAGACTAGAGGAAATGTCTCCTTTCTCTAGTCCCCGATGATAATGATTTGTGACTTGGGAGGCTGATCTGTTCTGCCTTGTGTTATAGTTATCTGGCTACTTAGCTTATCTGCTAGTCGGTTCTTAGAGGACAAGGACTCCTTACTTACCTTTGTGTCCCTACTTTCACACAGTAGGCTCTCAGATAGATTTACAGAGTCAAAGTTCCTAAAAAAATGTTAGTGGTCACCAAAGTAAATATCTTTCAATCTCTCTCACAGAGAGAAGTTACTTTCTTCTTTTGCTGATTTCAAAATGAAAAAAAAAAAAATAATCTAAAAGAATCATACTGCTTTCAATCTCTAGTCATAAAAGGGACATATTTAGCTGCAATTTTTCTTAAAAAAAACGAGCAAAAGAAAACAACCTTAAAGATGGAACAAAAGCAATGAGACTATAGACTAAGAAACAGTGTAGAGGTTGAAGAGACACTAGAAATCCATTTACCCACCATGCATAGGGCAGAAAGAATCCTACCCAGCAAGGATTCAGAATCCTGTTGGGAGGGGGGTGTAAAATTTGCATTAATGTGGGGGAATTTCAGTCCTTTAGCAGCCATGGGATACTAAAAATCCTAAAAGGAAAAAAAAATCAGAGAGATCTTCAAGATTCGACTGTTTAAAGGGAAGCTTACTGCCTTTCAGAGGAGATTTCCTAATTATATATACTAATTTAATGACCTTTCACTTAAAAGTACGTTGAAATTCACTGTACTTTACTCAGGTACTAAGTATGACGGCTTATACTCCTCTGGCAATTTAGTTTTCAATCACTCCCCCCGCCCCACCATATTTTTAAAAATCCATTCAAAACAGCAGCACTGATTATGAATTCGCTGAAGCAGAAAAGACCAGGGAAACTAAAAAAAACATGTTTGGGCTTTAAAATATTCCAAAAAACATGAGTAGGCAGATATGCTGATTAGATTTTACTGACTACTTAATTTATTTTTCCATATACCATTTTCTATTTAAATGCATTTTTCACTATAAGGTAATATAACTTCATTATAGAATAGTTTGAAAAAATATTACCCACAATCATAATAAAACAACCCAAGATATAGATTTTAAGTTATCTGTGTAAAACTGTCACAATGTCCTTTATGTAGCCAAGTTTCAGAAATGAAATATCCTCTTCCAACATTACTTATGTTAATACTTTGGCATTATCTCCTCTCACTGATTGTCTCATCTTCCCTTCCCTGAGGGGAAATCATGAAGTATTTCTAATTTTGTACTGTGATTTCCTCACTATAAAAACCATAAACACTTTTAGGTTGCTACAATTTTTCCTAAATATTCTTCGAAGTGGCTACATAACATCCCACTGGATAAATGGATTACAATTCATTGTATTACAACCCAGTTTATTCAATAAAGGTTATGAATCCATAACTATATCCTTATAACTGGATACGTGGGTCATCTCTAAAACTTGGCTACATAAAGAACATTGTGGCAGTTTTACACAGATCACTTAAAATCTATATCTTGGGTTGTTTTATTATGATTGATTCCAAGAAGTAAGATTATTTTATCAGAGAGGAGTAACTTTATCTAATTACTTTCTAGAGAACTTATAAGAATTTGCAAAGTCAAGAGAAATGTATGAGAGTGTAGGAGAGAGCAACTGCAGAAAGTGACACTATTCCACTTTCAGATCAGAAGTCAGTGAAATTATAATTCTTAGCCACCTACTTTGATTAAAGCCTGTAACTATGGACCCTATTAGTGTAGTCTGCTAAATCCTACCTTTTGCCTATCTGCCCTCTCTTTTATCTACTCTCTAATATATAAGATTTCCTTCCTTTACATGCTTTCTTACCTGCCAAGCTACACATTTTACCAAGCGTATGTACTTATTGGTGAGTCTTTCTACATTTGTGTACGTCCTATAAATATGTGTGTATGTGTACTTCTATATACAAAAATGAGATCGGGGTGAGGGAGAACAAGCTCATTTGATAGGTGATAATAATTGTGTGTGCGTGCATGCAAGCACATATGTATATGTTTATCTGTTTATTATTCTTTGCTTATTTATCTATTGGATCCTCATTTTGCTCTAAGCAATATGTTATGATATAAAAGTACAAATCATAATATTCACTACTCAATCAGTTATTCTTTTCTTTTAATGTTGTCAGATTTGGTTTTTTGGTATGTGTTTGCCTCTTCTGTCTTTAGGCTGAGAGAAGCCTCTCATCCAGACCGCCAGTTTCCCAAACCATAAACATGAAGGACGAATGACATGGCCTTCTCTGAAGTGGCCTAAAGCAAATTTGAGTCTTCATTGCAAGTCCATCTCAGATCTTGGCCAGCTCTAGAGTTAAGCTGAATACAGGGACAGAGGTAGAGTGGAGGTGCCAGTTCATGCCCAGGTGAGCTCTAAGTCCAAATTACCCACCCATTCTAATGAGCAAGGAAAAACCAGCATTGGTAAAAGCTGCACACTGGACTGTAGATGAGACTCAAAGTGAACTAGCCTATACATCCTATACACCCAGCAGGTCCCTTCAGCCAAAAGACTCTGACAGGCCAAGATCCTCTAGAATAGATGCTTCATGTAAGGCACCTGGCTACATCTAAGTGCCATTACACAAACCCTGAGGGTTGCTAGAATGCCACGTCACATCAGTGAGAAATGGCAAGCGCTTTTTCTTTAATTTCAATATATACACTTAAGCAGAGAAGCTAAAGAATTTGGGTTTTAACATTAGCCACAAATAAAGGGAAAGTCTGAAACAATGAAAGTCTAAAACATACCTGATTTCGTAGAGGCTGTTGTGATGGCCGATCCCTGTGTGTGTGGCTTTCTCGAGTTATTGCAGATGCACCAGAATCTACATGAACTGACCCTACTGGAGTAGGCTGGACAAATAAAACAAAAAGTCAAATGCGGAAAACAAGTCTAACCTAATGCCTCTGCAAAGGACAGCATCATTCTAATTCTAATAGGATAGTAATTATTATTTTCAGCCACCAAGGGAAGTTTCAAGTCTTCCTGTCTTCTCAGTTTGCTTATCTGCAAAAGGGAGGCAGCTTTGTCTTCAGTAGTTCATTAGAGAGTAGTTTACCTTTGAAAATTAAAAAAAAAAAAAAAAAAAATCCTACGGGGATGTTTGTTAGCACGCTCCACGGCAGGGGACCCAACAGCATCATTCTAATTCTAATAGGATAGTAATTATTATTTTCAGCCACCAAGGGAAGTTTCAAGTCTTCCTGTCTTCTCAGTTTGCTTATCTGCAAAAGGGAGGCAGCTTTGTCTTCAGTAGTTCATTAGAGAGTAGTTTACCTTTGAAAATTAAAAAAAAAAAAAAAAAAAATCCTACGGTGATGTCTGTTAGCACGCTCTCAGGCCCCGTGGACCCCTGGCTAGAAGAGCAAATTCAAAAGCTTCCTGTGGTGCTGGGCTGCACCCCTACTGAAGTCAAGCACCTTTACTGTCTATTTAGCACAAGCTTCTGGATCATACAAATGAAACTTTTTAAAAACTGGCTTGAATTCTGGTATCTTAGGACATACTGGTCATAATCTTAAAAACACATAAAGGGAGTTACTCCTGCTTCCTAATTCTAGTAAGAGAAACCTAAGGCATCACCTGAAAAGGTTGGTAAGTGTAGTCTACAGTCAAAGGTATGTCCTTCTCCATTGCTTTAAGCAGAAAGTCTGACGAGTGAAGGGGTGAGGCAGTGCTGGTCTGAGGTGAAGAGGAGCAAAGAGGATACTCACAATAGGCCTCCCGACCCAATCGTAGGCGTAGTCAAAGGTATAGCCTTTCCTTTCAAAGAGGTCTGTGAAGAGGGTCCGTAAATACTCATAGTCAGGTTTTTCAAAGAAGTCTAACCGCCTGACATATCGCAGGTAAGTTGCCATCTCCTCTGTGAGGAAAGAGGTCAAAGGCCATGCTCATTAGCTGAATGCTTCCCACTGGGAGAAACTTGGGGCCAAGCAAGGAATACTGTACAGACTATTTGACACTGGTGTCTTCTTTATGGACCAAATAAAAGCGACAAAACCTGTCTTGATCTAAATAACAATAAAGGGAAATGTAAGTTTTCTGGAGAGCACCTTATCTAAAGGTACCAAGTCATGGCCTTCACCTACTTCAAAGCTTTAGTAGCACTGGCTGGGGTGTCCTTTTTGTACCCTACCTGGAAAGTTTTCACAGAGAGCTTCAATGGGAGTATTCCTTTTGGTGTCACCAATTTTTTGATATCTCTCTTTTAATGTATCAGCCTGTAGAGAGTAAAGAGAGAGAGTTATTTGGAAAGAGGAGCTAAATATGGGAGGTCCTGTATGTTTGGGGACACAATGAGTGTTTCAATAAAACTGGGAGGATTTGTTAAACAATCTCAATTGTTTTTCTCTCTAACACTAACAAATAAGAAATGCAGTAGAAATGATGTGTTTAGATATGTACAATACATCTGCTCTGCTCTAGAAAACTTTTCTTGCAAACATATTTGGTAGTCTAAGATAAATGCCATCAAATGTAATGAGACAAATGGCTAGGATAAGAAAATAAAAATATCATGTAGCAATATTCTCAGAATTGTAGCAGCTTAGTAATCTCTCACGGCCACGGGGGTTCAAAAAGAGATTTAGCTTTCCCCTTTTTAGAAAACTCCATAAGATTAAAAATATTGCTAACCCAAGTGGGGACAGATAGATGGCTCCACAACATATTTATTGTGAAGTTGAATAGAAAAAAGAACAATTAAAAAAAAAAAAAGTGCCCTTCCACAATGTGGTTCCAGAGAGAAAAATGTTATCTAAATGTTATCTATGATACAGGCATGACTAACAGACAGGTTTAATATACGTCAGTGGCTTGAAGCAGCCAAATCCGGTTTGCTCATGACTGTAAAAAGAGGGCTTCTGAAGCTTGGACCAACAATGTGGTCTTAAGGGATTCCCTTGAGGCTCTACCTAGCCTGCTGCACCCAGTTTTAAGCAACAATGTTCTAAAGTGAGTTGGAGAAATTTTAGATCTACAACTACCACTAATACAATTCATGGACCGTAAAAAAGTTTCAAGCGATTAATAATATATACATGAATACACTGGCTATATAATGAGCAAAGAGAATGTGAAACTATTTGACAACTGTCAATATCAACGACAAGATATATATGACTAGGAGAAGATCGTGGAGATGTTAAGAGAGAAATTTAAAGGGAAAGAAATAAAATCTTCCCAAAGGGAAGGGACAGAAGCCTTACTTTTCAGGACAATGTCCTAGAGAGGACAGCAAAGTTAATCATTCTATTCCACCCATCTGGAGAGGCTGGGTAGTATAGGAGTACCCAAAACTATGAATTAAGTTTCTTTCCACACTAACATGTTAAAATAAATTACAGCTCAAAAATATGTCACACATTTAACTATCTAATGGGACTTAGAATGAGTTAGAAGCTTACCATTTCCTAGTCTATCAGTCAAAGGCACAGAGTAAATTACAATGGTTATAATTATAACTAATAGTTGACTTTGACATGAATGTACTATACTAATACCTACCTAAGGAAGTCTATTTAACCTACATGTTTCACAAGGAATGGCTATTGTCTGCATAGGCATTTATTCAATAAAATACTTGAATAGCAATGTTAAGCCTGGATTTTCATTTTAATCCAGGTGGGCACTTAGCCTCAACAGGATGAACAAATATTTCCTGCTTCACCTTAGGGGCACACCCAGCCCTGCTGGTCTTGCTGGTAAAATGTGTAGCAGCTGCTGACATCAATTTGTTCCAGAAATTCCCCAACACACTGGGAACACTCATCCTGCTACATAATGGTAGTGGAGGAGGAATACTGACAGAGAGAAAAGCAGTACTGCCAAGGCTGGGAGGGAACCAGGGGGGAGATCACGGAAAATCCAAAAACAAGGAAGAAGGATTCAGAAAGGGAAGAAGACAAATGCAGCAAAACAGAGCTTCCAAAGCCCAGATGAGCATTTACAATATAAACTAATCTAAGTAGTTCTTGCTTCTCATCTCTGTAACCAATCTTCCACTTCGTGCTTCTTGCAGACATCAAGTCAGCAACCCCTTCAGTAACAACTGAGAATTCAAAGAAAGCCCTCCGCTGAGCACTTTCAAGGATACCTTGAGTCCTTGCCAGGGCAGGCTGCCTCGAAGGAAATACATGAACATATGGCCTAGGGCTTCCAAATCATCCCGCCGGCTTTGCTCTAAAAGGGAAGACAGATCACACATTACATTTGAAGTTATTAAAGCAGAAAGAAGCTCAAAACCAAGCTGTCCTTTCAAAATCCCTTCTGCTCTGGAAAGGTGTTGCTTACTAATTCTTTGTATATCTAAACCAGGGATAGTACTTTAGATCAAACCAAAAAAACCAATGTGTACCTCCTTTGCCTTGATCTAACACTGGCAAGTAAATACCAAGTGAAAAGAGTACACCCTAAACTAAAACCAAGTTCAAATCAGTAAATGGTGATTAACCACCCCTCGCTGAATGCTGTCACCTTCCTGAAAGTAAGATCATTTAAGAGAAACATTATTTCCTACATATGGGTGACAATTACATCAGGGAAAGCGAGCAGCAGATTAAGCAGCTGAAGCTGTTCAAACAATCCACTCTGGCTAGGACTGCGAAGGCACGAGCTGCAGAATGCCTAGTACACATGGCTGGTGTTTTTCATTAGTCATAAAAAATGAATAAAAACTAATATCAAAACTTAATTTGATATAAGCAAACATCAATGATAATCTCTCGGCTCCATTCCATGTGTACCATGTTCCATGGCCACCTTAAGAAAGACTTGAAATTTATTACTAAGGTGCCCTTTATGGGCACATAAAACAGGATCCCTGTATTCTGGGAGCTTATCATATAAAATAAGTTGCTGGGTTTCTCTTTCAACTGGAAAGATGAAAAAAAAATCTTATACTTCCTTTGGTTGTCAGACTGAATATAAATAGTACATGCCTCCATTTCTGATTTGCCGATTACGGTTCAACTCAGGCATTTTATGTATTTATTTTTCAGAATCAAGTTTAGGGCTTTATCAAAAGAAATGACAGAAGCAAGACTAAGGGGCTACCTTAAACTCAGCTGTGCTTTCATTGTGCAGAAAATAAAACTTAAGAGTCAGGGAGGCAGGGAAAGCTACTCAACTAAACTCAAAATACAAAAGCACAACGTGTTTAACTGCTGCCACCAATTTTGGGTAATTTGCATGAAAAAGAGTGAATAGTACTCTGCAGGATAAATGAACAAAGAAGACAACCTTCTAAATTGCAGTTTGAAGATTTTTGCAAAGGGGGTCACTAGAGGAAAGGGGAGGCACCCTGACAAGACATATAAGTAATATAAAATTGAGTTGATGCAAGTCAACTGAAATAATCTTAAAAAGGATAAAATAAAACAGCAAGACCAGAAGCTTCTGTCTACATGGCTTGCCTGAAGGTGGTTGCAATAAATTTTATACGTGATTGAAAACAAAGTCATTAGACAAATAGTTTAACAGAGTTTAAAGATACACAAAAAAAGAAAGAACAAGTAAGGTGAATTGAGATCTCCCACAAAGCAGGGCAGATAGAGAAACCGCGCCCTGCAGTTTTTCACACTACATCACACCTACTCATCACCTCTCCATTTTTATATCCACCTCCTGTAACAAGAGGCCCCTTGGTAACAAAAAATTCACCGGACAAATGGTTGCATTTTGGCTAGTTGAGCACTAGAGGGCGAAACTCTCCACATTTTCAATATTCATCGGCTCTGCAAAAAAAGGCAACTTCTCTTCAGAGCAAAAAGCCATTTCAAAAGATTTTTTAAAAATAAAAAACCAAAAAAATAACAAACACATTTAAGCCCACTGGAATAAGTAACAAAATAACTTTCAAATACTGAGAACCATGAAAAATAGCTGTGGAATATGGGATAACAGGAAAAACAATGGTTCTGGAGTCAGGTCATCTAGATCTTGACCCATCCTTTCCATTAATTTAATCCATGTGGAATTAAGCATGGCCAAGTCACCTACTTAGGGCCTAAGTTTCTTCATCTGAAAATAAAGTGGTTGATTTAGGTAATCTGAAAAGTCATTTTCCGGTTCTCAAATAACCTATAATAATTTAAGCTATTAGGGCCTTTCAAGAAAAAAAAAAAAGTAAAAACAAGAGCCATGCTTTATTTCCAAATTTCTTTGAACATTCCACATTTGTTCGAATCAATATTTCTACATGTTCTTGTTTATTCATGCAAGACATTGTCACTTTCAAAGAAGGTTTCAATACCAATGAGACCAGTAGGACACAAAATTCTTTCACACCATAAAGGCTTGCCTTCAACCAATCGAAAAGATGTGCTTGGTTTACATGCATCACATCCCTGATTTTAAGTCAAATATATTTTGTTGTAGGAAAGGGGCTAGGTGACCCTGTGTTCTCACCCTAATTTCAGCCATTAAAGAATACTTAATGGGATGTGATAATGTCAGGTTTAGGAGACATCTTCCCTTGTTCTCTTCCCTCGCAAAATTAATAGGTAATGCTCTCCAAGTCATCTGAAGATTCACTTCCCTCGTTCTCCATTACAACATAAAGGATGCTACACATTTAAAACCCAATAGAATTAAGAGTTCCTATGGAAACTTCTCTGGTTTGAGACTCTAACCAGAGTTTAAAGGACATCTGACAACCATCTTTATGTATTCTCTGTAACACTGAGAGAACAAAATATGGTGACAAGTTGGATCTGACCCGAAAACTTTTTAACTACGAAGTCCAAGTTTGGAGATAAACTCAAAGTTCTGGCAGAAATGGCTATACCAAGAAATGAAGGGACCCAGTCCGACAACAGTAGATGCTTAAAACAGTCCGTTGAATAAATGATAATTACCATTATAGAATCTTTACTAGTATCAGGCACTATGCTAAACACTTATATGCATTATCTCACAGAACTCTATGATATGAAGTACTCTTATTATACTTCATAGATAACTGAGGCTGAGGGAAGGTTATTGGACCAAAATCACATCGCTTTAAGTGAAAATGCCAGGATTTGCATCCCTTTTTCTTGACCATCACACTGTACCTATACAGGCATAACGCAGGTACCCATCCTTTGTCTTTGTTTTTCTTGACAATAATAATAAAATTAGAATACAAATTGCTGAGCCCAGAAAGCAGGCACTGGAACAACAATTTCTAGGGCCTGTCAGTTAAACCAAGCAATTATGACTTTTTACAACACAGTCTATCTCCTTGTAAAAAGGAAGAAGGGACTACTGAGCACTATCCAAGAGACCTGTGTTACATATATCACCTATTTAATCCTCAGAATATCCTTATGAAATATTACTTTTATTTTACAGATAAGTTTCAGGAAGATTAAGTAACTTGTCCAAAGTAACACTGATAATAAGTAGCAGAAGACCTTCTAGTCTAATTTTAAAGTATTACACTTGGTTAAGTGAGGATTTCCATGTGGTTACGGACAAAATTCTGACAGCATTCATGATTTCAACTCAAGTTGTATCACACTACTTTGTCATGTCATTTTTATTCTTCATTAATACTAGAGTCATTATCCGAATAGATGTGCAGTTTACTCAATGAGGCAACGTCGTAGCTACTAGTCTTTAAAATACTTACTAGTGTATGACAGTTGTTAATGTTCAAACAACTGATACAATTAGCTATGTCTAGGATTATGGAACCTGATAATATTCTGTTTACATGGCTATTCTCTAGGATGATAATTTTCAAATATATTTTTTCAATCACCTTGGAAACTTTTCTCCAAATAGAATCTTCCATGAAAGACCAATATATAAAACAGATACACAGGGAAGCTTTTCTGGAGAAGCTGGCAAAGGGCCCAAGGGCCCTGCCTACTTGACTTTCCACTGTTCTTAAGGCTTCTCCTGCAACAGTCTCCTTGGGACTAGTTCCTCTAACAAGGCCTTCTGCCTTTATTAGAGCTTCTTGCAATACTTGTGCAAACCATCTATCCTGAATAAAATGTAAGACATGAAAAAGCAAATATATTTTCACTGAGTAAGATATAGGTTCTTCCTTAAAGAATTATTCATGGAATTATGCACAGTGAACAGCAGCCTGGTTCATATTTTAGTGAGGTGCTCTTCCTCAAAGCAGATACCAGCCTGATGTCATATATGAGATCATTCATACCAAACTCATCACTAAACTTAATAAAATGCTATGACTTTAATAATTCAAGTACGCACACTGCTAAGAAACTAAGCTTTGGAAACACAGTACAGTTGACCTTCGAACAACATGGGGGTTAGGAGGGTCTGCGGCCTGCGCTGCGCAGTCGAAAATGTGCATATAACTGACTCTCCAGAACTTAACTACTAATAGCATACTGTTGACTGGAAGCCTTACTGGTAACGTAAAGTCAATTAACACGTATTTTGTATGTTATAAATATTAGATACTGTATTCTTACAATAAAGCAAACAGAGGAAAAGAAAATGTTAAGAAAACCATAAAGAAGATATATTTACAATGTTCATTGAAAAAAATCCACATATAAGTGGATCTGCACAGTTCAACCCTGTATTATTCAAGAGTCAACTGCATAAAGAATTAAAATCCTCAAGTTGTCAATCGAATATTCAGGAAAGTCACTAACTTACCATACTGTTTTCAAGTATAAAAATCACTTACCTGTGAAGCAATAAAGATCGCAAGTTGTAATGCACAATGGGGACAAAAGTGTTATTAGAATAAAAAGTTGTTTTAACAACCTGTCCTTTTGAGGAGCAGAAAATAAACACACCTTTGCCAAGATGCGTGTTGATAGACATATATCTCGCAGTTCCAGTTAAACTTTTGTGCTCCCTATATGGTATGTGTTTTTTGGTTTCAGGGTCAATGTATTCCTTGGCCAGTCCAAAATCTATAATGTGTATAACATGCTCTTTTTTATTGCCTTGGCGGCCAATCAGGAAGTTCTCTGGCTTGACATCTCGGTAAATGAGATTCTTTGAGTGTACATATTCCATTCGAGAAAGCTAAAAGAGAAAAAACAATGATGGAAATACTCCAAAAAAATTTATTTAAAAAACACATTACATTTTCTTTTATCAACCCAAGGTTTTAATTACCGAAATGAAAATAAAACTCATTTCTTCTTCACCACTCAGAGTCACTTTATTCCTGTAAACCAGAAAATATTTTCTGATACAAATATATACATAACAAATATCAAGATAAAAGAGCGGGATAGTACAATTGAAATAATATACAGTTTTACTTTATAATGTTACAATTTGCAGATGATGAATAGAATTGTTTTTATGCTTCTTCAGAAAGCAAGAATTTGAAAGGCAGGAATGATTCCCAGACAGGATATCAGAATATGCTGGTGGTCTTTGAAGACAGGTGCCACTGTTACGTTCAACTCCTGCCCACATGTTCCTTTCCTCAGTTGACTAGGACTCCCCAACCCAGCTCTCTTTGTTGCTGAAATAAGGAAAGTGAGGCCCAGAGAAGTTAATATTGGACGGATATCACAGAGTTAATTAGCAGCAGAGGGAGAAGTGTAGTTTATATGTGAATGTAAAAATATCCCAAAATAGTAATCATAAAATTATTTCAAATTTCATTAAGTTCATTTCTATCTACAAAGCTTTTCTACTTACTTAGTATAGAAAGGGAAGCTCAGACATTTGAATTTTGGATATGAAAGTCAATTTTCCAACATTTCCAAGTTTTGGCTGTAAAGTGCGTTAGAATATCACTGTCTCAGACCAATAAAGGTTCATTCGCATCCTTCCCGAGAGGCTGACAAACTTCTTAAAGGAACTATCTTAACTGCTCCTTAAACTCCTAATGGTGTACAATTTGGTAGGAGCTAAGAGAGCTGCCTCTTCAGCCGTGTCAATCTGTGAGAACTGGAAGTCATAGAACTAAGGTGGGTTCTTGGTCATACAATTTCAGAATCTTCAATCTTTTCTTGGATGCAAAAGTAAGGGGAGAGGGAGGACGTATGTTTAAAACCTATAAATAAAACATCTGAGAAATTACTTCACCTAATCATCCTCTTTCTCCCTAATCTAAATTACATGCTTCCACTTCGGTTAAGGGAAAAGTATTGTTCCAAGGTACAAAGTCTTAAAACAGAGCAAAGGGCAGATGCAGTGACTTCTTTGGATTAGCCTTTTTTGTCCCAGCCAGCTTCTTAGAACACCTCAAGTCTAGGAATGTGCATTCACTAGGTATCACTACAGCTGGTAAATCACCAAAAGGGACACAAGGATGTGGCTATGGAACCCGCCTATTCTTTTGCAGAACAGCAATGCCAACTTACCAACTGGATAGCTATCATTAACACAGTCTTCAAAGTAAATGTTCTGTCACAGAGGTCAAACAAGTCCTCCAAGCTAGGGCCGAGGAGCTCCAGCACCATGGCATTGTATTTCCCACATGGTCCAAAGTAATAAACCTGTGGGAGACCTTCACCTGAAAGCAGAGGGGGATGGGTGCAGAATGGGGGACAGAAAACCAAAATATGAGAAAGCTGCATCAGCACTGAGTAGATATAAAGTACGACTTATGAAATTTCCATTTTTCTTTCACAGTCCTTACTGGAGAACTTAACTTGAGCACAATAGCTTCAAAGGGAACTAATAATGGGTGGGAAAGGCTAAATCATTTTACAATAAGTTCAAATAAGCAGTTATTTAATATCAGAGTGCCAAAGGCATTTCCACTGCTATATAACACATTACCAGATCAGAGTGTTAACTATTCTCCCCTAAGGATGCCCAAAAGTACACTATCATAAAAGGTTCAAAGGATGGCTCTCTGAGCGCAAAAGGCCAGGCTAACGGACTCTGTTGCATTAGTTGGCTTCATTTGCACTTCCTATGCTCACTGCCAAAGTCACATAGGGAGCTGTTTGCAACTGTGGCCCCAAGGACAACTCAGACTGAAGGGGTGAGGTCACAGAGGGTGCAGCCTGGCCCTCTTCTCACAGGGAGTCTCAGTAGTTTCCTGTTTTCTATTAGTTGGAGCAAAGTCGACAGGGTTTGGTTACTGATAAGTAATTATGAAAGGAATAGGAAAAAAAAATACAAGTCTGGGTTTTCCCCAGATTTGAAATTCATGGCTGTAAGAAGCCAAAATCTGGACTTTCTCATCTAAGTGGCAACTTGTGAATGAACTTCCTTCTTAATGTGTACAGTAAATATGAGGCTCTCAGTAAATATGTTAGATAGCACAGTATCATGTGAACAGTGGATACGAATGAGACCTGAGAACATTTAAAAATTTGGTCTCATAGAGCAGAAACACTTCCATCTTATACATTAATGTATATCATGGTTTATATTTGTATATGTGGCAGATTACTGCCTACAAGTGTTTTAGACAATAAAATTCTCTCCATCTTCTTATCTCTTTTTATTTGTAAAGACAGGATACAGGCAGAGGAATTATATCTGCTACGATCTGAATGTTTGTGCCGCCCCCCCCCCTCCGCCCACCAAATTCACGTTGAAATCTAATGCTCATTGTGATGGTTTTAAGAGGTAAGGCCTTTGGGAGGCAATTATGTCATGAGGACAGAACCCTCATGAATAAGATTAGTGGTCTTATAAAAGAACTCCCAATCCCCACCAAGAGCTTCCGCCATGTGAGGACATAGCAGGAAGTCGGCAGTCTGCAAACAAGAGGGCCTTCACCAGAACCTAACCATGCTAGCACCCTGATCTTGAACATTCAGCCTCTGGAACCATGAGAAATAAATTTCTGTGTTTATAAGCCATCCAGTCTATGGTATTTTGTTATAGCAGCCCAAATGAACAATATCTAATACTTAAAGCTTTAACCTAAGATGCCTATCATTCTCTCTAGGATAGGTCTTTTATATCTGGAGTTGGTACGATTCACTGCTATGATAAGTATTTAACTATTTCATATGCTTTATTAGTTTATCTTGTTCCATCTAAATACTAAACAACTCGAGTATTTAATAAGTTCATTCATAAATCATATCATCCAACACAGTATATTCTGCTCCTGCTAGCTCCATAAATATCCACTGAATTGTCCTTATGGTTGTTTTGATTCTGTCTCCAAAAGTAAACAGGATTTAATGTCTTTTTTTCCCATTGTTTTGAAGAACTCATTCTTCAAATTACTTAAAATATACAAAACCTAATAGCTGTTTCCAATGAGTCCTGCTGAGAAATCCAAAGGAGAACACTACTGTGAAGATTTATTGTTTTTATTAATGAGACACATGGTAAATTGTAGTTTGGGGATCTTTTAAATGTATATCCTATATAATAGTTTTTGGTGTCACTAAAATTTGGTTTTTCTAATATAAGTATTATATTCTTGAAAACAGGTTATGGCAGATCTGTTGTTTGCCTACCCAACATCCACTCTTCTTTCTTAGTAATATAACTTCTACTTATAGTGAATAGCAACCTGCCCAGTTGTAACTTTCCACCCTTCCTTGATAACAGGAATGACCAGTGAGATAGAAGCAAAAACTGTTGGTTGGTGTGGTCCTAGAAAAGTTCTTTCAAGAGAGATGATTCGAGTTAGAGCTATGCCTCTTTGATGATGGCTGAAGCTCCACAGCCATCTAGAACAATCATCTAGACACCTTGAGGATGTAAGATAGTGCCAAGAATGAATGGAACGAGAGAGAGAGAGAGAGAGCGGGAGAGAGAGAGAGACAGAGAGAGAGAGAGAGAGAGAGAACCTGAGTCCCTGATGGCCGTGAGGTATCCATATCAATGCTGGGCTTCCCTTTCCCCTAGACTTTTTTAATCCAAAAGAAAAATCAATCTCTACACCTCGACTGAACTATTGTTTGGATTTTTTTTTACAGCCAATTCTAATCCTAATTAACAAACATATTATTCCTTTAGTTGGTTAAATTGCAAATCTGGGCACAAAATCCTCCCTCTGAAGTACAAGCTAAAAGTCAGGTCTGCTTAGAAATATAATACTGGCATAATTTCCTAGATTTGCTGCCAATACTTAAGGATCAGTTTAAATGAGACAAATGATCATCTTGTTCTTGAAAATCTTTAGTACCAAATCTAGGCATCTTGTCAGAAATTTCCTTGTTTACAAAGAAGCCACTAAAACATTCCGGGTGATGTCTATAATTTCCAACTATGAGTTACGTCACTCATAACTCTTGCCTTTTAATTTCAAAGATGTGAGAAGTTCCTGCTGGCTATATTATTGCTCCTTTTATTAAATACCCTGAGAACTTACAATACCCTGGCATGCTCTGGGATGCTCAAGACAACTTTTAGATTACTGCATGACTTTGAAGATTTTCTCAAAGATGAACTAGGTCTAAGACGTTAGTATAGAAAGAGCTCAAGTCAGAGTCTTGGATCTACTATTTGGTTCTGCTACCAACTCTGTAAAGAGGAGGGGTTTAGAATACTTTCCTTTTAACTCTAAAATTCTAACTATAGCTAGGATCTCCTTCTAGCTACCTTCTAAGTTCCTCTTTGTAAAGCCATAGTACCAGTGTGGATGAAACTTGTCACCATGTTATACAGAATATGTGTGGTACAGATTCAAATGTAAGCTGAGAGTGGTACTCACTTGGAAGTTGAGTCTATTAGAAACATCTCTAAAACTTTAAAAAACAGATGCAGTGACTTCACTTCAAACCTACTAAACCAGAATTTCTAGTAGTGGACAAAAGCACATCTCCACAGGTGATTCTGAAGTGTAACCTCTGCTGGAAAACTCTGTATCTTGAGGGTAAAAATAGAGGGCATTGCTTTGTTTCATGACGAATATAGTCTAAGGACTCAGAGAACACTGACAGACCAGTCTCTTTCGCAAGTTCTTTCACATCAGAACAATTAGACTCCATCCTCCTTTTGAAGGGAATCAGATTAAGGCTATTTAAAAGGCTTGTTTAGAGTTTCTCAGATATTACAGAAAATGTGCTGCTAAGTATAAACGTCTCTGGGAGATGTAGATATAATTTATTGGAACTGCTTGTACAGAAAGATGCCCACACAAGTTCCATTCTGTGCCTAGTTTCTTGCATGACCGCCCATAAAGTGATCAGTGTTGGTGGTAAAAGACATAGACATGGGCCCAGTAAGAAAGTCTGTCTCTTTGGTCAGGGGTTACTGCACAATAATTAGTTATAACCTGGGCTGCATTTAAATGGGAAATCCTGCATTCTATATTTTACTCTTCCTCTGCAAAGCCATCTCTAATCCACTGCTTAAGAAAATTTTAATTAATCAACATTATGTTGTAAAATCCCTTAATAAGACTGGGTATGAGGGCAAACCCTTAAATGCAAAACAAGCTACGCATGTGCTAAACAAGGTACTTCCTGCAAGTAATTATGAAGTAATGGAAATTAAGTGGGAGAGATAGGCAAGATAGATATGCACTGAATTCTTTGATCTATGGTATTTCAGAAACTAAGGTAATTTTATAAATCTCTCATCTGCTCTGGAAAAAAAGCACTAGTAAGGTCTCCCTCCTAAATTGGTCAGCTACATAAAGGCCTGGAAATTAAAGAAGTGAATCTTGAATTTTCTTCTTTTGAAGGATTTCTAATACATTTCAGTTAGCCACAGGTTAAATCTCTTATGAACCAAAACTGCAAGGTTATATATACACTGCATATGTTATCTTGTATATTTTTATAGGGTACTATTAAACAGCTCTTCCATCCATCAATATCATATTCTTATAAACCCTACTGGACATATGGTTCACACATATGTCAAGTTGCATAGAACAGAAAGTGAGGTGTACAACATGACGGCTAATTTTCAGTCTGCCATAAATTTAACTTGGGTTAAACACACCAAATCAGGATAATGGCTTCTTTATTATCCAAGCTGTTATCTAAAAATATTCCATAATGCATTATGAACAGTAACTACACTAAGAGATATTTTTAAATGCACATCAGGTTGAGAACTGAAATAGAACCACCTTGAGGCTTTTGGTAATTTGATCACATTATTGCCTAATAATTAGCTTTTCATCTTTTTGAAAAACTAAATTACCTAGCTGTGAAGCAATTTCAAAGTCTCATATCTACATTAATACCTGGATAGGAAAAAATAACATCTATGTTAATATTCTATGAAAAAATAAGCATATCTTGGTGACGACTGTCTTCTAAAGTCAGGGCCGGAGAAAACCTTTAAGGGATTAATGACCTCAGGAATTCCCTTCTTATGTTTTGTTTACATAGTTTTTTTAATTTTTAAAGAAAATAGGACAGTTTTTCTCCAAAATTAAACTGTTCTTGATTCCATCAATGGTAGTGACTTCTAACACACCTACTGAATATTCTTTAGTGTTTGAGAGAATCAGGGAATTATTGATACGTGGGAAATTATCATCAATAATATTAAACAAACCCACTTAACAAGAAAGCAGAAAGAATAGGCAGATAAACAGGATGATATTCCATAAGAAGAACTAAAAGGGGAAAATGA